ATTCTGCAAGCAGCCAGGAGTAAGCACTAATTGATCTACAGGGAAGGATCCATGAAGGAGACAGCGGGCTTCTTAGCTAAAACTTTCCAAGTAAGAAGAGAATGGTCAGCTACCTTTACCCTTCCTAAACAAAATCCTAATACAGCTTTAAAATCAATGGAGAAATCAAATCTTTTATTGATATGCAAACATTGAGGAAATTTGGCACAACCCAACCAGCTCTATAGGAAATACTTTGACCTATTCTTCACACTGGCCATCACAATGCACCACTAGCAAAGTAAACACCCACAAACTGAAGAACAAAACCTAGCTTCCATAATGGTACAAAGGATAAAAGTAAGCAATGGACCTTCACAAAATAAGATGACTAGAACTCCAACACACTTATCAATTCTATCAATAAATGATAATGGCTAGAATTTCCCACTAAAGAGGCACAAGTTGTCTGAATGAATGAAAAAGCACAAACTATCCATATGCTGCCTCCAGAAAATACACCTAACCTTGCAGCTCAGCACCCACAGCATACTGGTTACAGAGTCAGCCACATACACCAAGGCTGGCGGGTTAGAACCCAGCCCAGGCCAGCTAAGCAACAATGATAACTGCAACAGAAAAATAGCCAGGCATTGTGGGGGGTGCCTGTAGCCCCAGCTACTTGGGAGGCTGAGGCAAGAGAATTGCTTAAGCCCAACAGTTTGAGGTTTCTGTGAGCTGCTATGCCATAGCACTCTACCAAGGGTGACATTGTTTTGAGACTCTGTCTCAAAACAAAAAACACCAACACTCAGGGTACAAGGATGGAAAACAATATTTCAGGCAAATGGAAACCAGAAGAAAGGAGGGGTTGCAATCATATTTTCAGATACAAGTTGATTTAAGGCAACTAAAGTTAAGGAAGATAAAGATGGTCACTTTGTACTGGTCAAGGGAACAACACATCGAGAGAACATTTCTTTTTTCTTTTCTTTCTTTCTTTTTTTTTTTTTGAGATAGAGCCTCAAGCTGTCACCCTGGGTAGGGTGCTGTGGCATCACAGCTCACAGCAACCTCCAACTCCTGGGCTCAAGGAAGTCTCCTGCCTCCGCCTCTCAAGTAGCTGGGACCACAGGCACCCGCCACAATGCTTGGCTATTTTTTTTTTTGGTTGTAGCCATCATTGTTGTATGGCGGCCCAGGCTGGATTCCAGCCCGCCACCTTAGGTGTATGTGGCTAGCCCCTTAGCCACTTGAGCCACAGGTGCCGTGCAGAGAGAACATTTCAATTCTAAACATTATGCACACAAATAGTTTCAAATTTGTGAAACAAACATTGATTGGTCTGAGAAATATGATGTCCTATAACATCATATTTCTAGGGCCTTGAACACTCCACTGCTTGAACTGGACAGACCCTCTAAACAGAAACTAAACAAAGATACAAGGGACTAAAATGCAACCCTAGAACAAATGGGCTTAATAGAAATATACAGAATGTACCATCCCAAAGGTAAGGAATATACATTCTTCTTATCAGTTCATGGAACAAACTCCAAAATGGATCATTTACTACATTACAAATGAAGCCTTTACAAAATTAAAAGAATTGAAATTATAACTTGTATCTTCTCAGACCATGAGGCAATAAAGGTAGAACTCCAACAAAAATCTTCATCTCCACACAAAGGCACGCAAATTATACTGAATGAAAATTGGGAATAAAGAGGGAAATTGTTAAATTCCTCAAATAAAACAATAATGAACTACAAGCTACCAAAACCTATGGGATACTGCAAAAGCAGTCCTAAGAGGGGAATTTATTGCATTAGATGCCTGTATCCAAAGAACAGAAAGAGAGCACATCAACAACCTAATCAATCATCTTAAGGAAATGGAAAAGAAAGAGCAATCTAATCCCAAACCCAGCAGAAAAAAAGAAATAACCAAAATTAAATCAGAAATAATAAAGTTTAAAACAAAAGAATCATTCAGAAAATCAATGAAACAAAAAGTTGGTTCTTTGAAAAGATAAATAAAACTGATAAACCTTGGCCAGATTAACTAGAAACAAAAAAGTAAGGTTGCTAATAACCTCAATCAGAAACAAAAAAGGGGAAACAATAATAGATAACACAGAGATAGAAGAGATTATCTCTGACAACTGCAAGAAACTCTATGTCCAGAAATTTGACAATGTGGAGGAAATGGACCAATACCTAGAATCATACCATCTCCCTGGACTTAACCAGGAAGAAATAGATCTCTTGAACAGAGCAATATCAGGTGCTGAAATTGGAGAAACAATACAAAAGCTTCCAACCACACACACACACACACAATTAGATGAGATGGCTTCACACCAGAACTCTCTCAAAACTTCAAAGAAGAGCTTATACTTATACCACAGAACCTATTTCAAAACAATGAGAAGGAAAGGACCTTCCCCAGCACATTCTATGAAGCAGACATTATCCTAATACCAAAACCAGAAAAGGACCAACTAAAAACAGAACTACAGATGAATTTCACTAATGAATAATGATGTAAAAATACTCAATAAAAATTTAGTCAACAGATTACAGGCACATATTTAAAAAGTTATACATCATGATCAAGTAGGCTGTCTTCCAGGGATGCAAGGCTGGTTTAACATATACAAATACATAAATGTAGTTCACCATATGAATGGAAGCAAAAACAAAGGCCATATAATCCTCTCAAAAGAAAATGCATTTGATAAAATTCAGCATCCTTTTCTAACAAGAACATTTAAACATTTAAGAATACAGGCATAGGTGGAGCATTTCTTAAAATGATAGACGCTGTTGATGACAGACCTATAGATAATATCATAAAGAATGGAGTAACACTGAAAGCTTTTCCACTTAGAACCAGAACTAGACAATTATGTCTTCTATCACCACTACTATCCAACATAGTTCTAGAAGTTCTAGCCAATGCAATCAGGCAAGAGAAGGACATAAAGGGCATCCAAATGGGGGCAGAGGAAGTCTCACTCTTTGCCAGTGATACGATCTTAGAGAACCCCAGAGACTCAACCACAAGACTCCTGGAATTAAACAAAAACTATAGTATGTCTCAGGGTATAAAATCAATGTCCACAAATCAGTAGCCTTTGTATATGCCAATAACAGCCAAATTGAGAAGATAATCAAAGACAAAATTCCCTTCACAGTAGCTTCAAAGAAAATGAAATAACTAGGGATATACCTAACAAAAGAGGGGAATGACCTCTACAAAGAGAATTATGAAACCCTAAGAAAAGACATAACAGAAGATATTAACAAATGGAAGAACATACCATGTTCTTGGCCAGGAAGAATTAACATTGTTAAAATGTTTATGCTATTCAAAGTAATCTACAGATTCAATGCAATCCCCGTTTAAGTACCAACATCATACTTTGAAGAACTGGAAAAAATAGTTCTTTGTCTCATATGGAACCAGAAAAAAATCCATTTAGCCAAGCCAATTTTTTAGTAATAAAAACAAAGCCAGAGTGGCTCATGCCTATAATCCTAGCTCTGAGGCTCGGCGCCTATAGCTCAACCGGCTAAGGCGCCAGCCACGTACACCTAAGGTGGCGGGTTCGAATCCCCAGCCCGGACCCGCCAAACAACAATGATGGCTGCAACCAAAAAATAGCCAGGCATTGTGGCGGGCGCCTGTGGTCCCAGCTACTTGGGAGGCAGAGGCAAGAGACTCGCTTGAGCCCAGGAGTTGGAGGTTGCTGTGAGCTGTAATGCCACGGCACTCTACCCAGGGGGACAGCTTGAGGCTCTGTCTCAAAAAAAAAAAAAAAAAATCCTAGCTCTGGGACGCCAAGTTGGGTGGATTGATTGAGCTCACAGGTTCAAGACTAGCTTGAGCAATGGCAAGACCCCTGTGTCTACTATAAACAAACAAACAAACAAAAAACCTGGAGGCATCACTCTGCCGGACTTTAGGCTATAATTACAAGTCCCCAGTGATCAAAATAGCATGGTATTGGCTCACAAATAGACATAGAGACATGAAACAGAATAGAAAAACCAAGAGATGAAACCAGTCTCTTATAGTTATCTGATCTTTCATAAACTCAACAAAAGCATAGACTGGGGAAAAGATTCCCTATTCAATAAGTGGTTCTGGGAGAAGTGGATAACCACATGTAGTAGTCTGAAATTAGACCTGCACGTTTCACCACTTACAAAATTGACTCAACATGAATAAAGATTTAAATCTAACACATAAAATAATAAAAATCCTAGAAGAAAATGTGGGTAAACATCTTGAGGATGTTGGCCTGCGGAAAGATTTTATGATGAAGACTTTTGTGGCAATTGCAACAACAGCAAAAACAAACAAGTGGGACTTGATTAAGTTGAAAAACTAAGGACACAACAATTGAAGCAAATAAACAACCTTCAGAATAGGAGAAAAGTTTTGCCTGGTACAAATCTGACAAAGGCTTGATATCTAGGATCTACAGAGAACTTAAATGAATCAACAAAAAAGAAGAGTAAACAATCCCATGTATCACTGGGCAAGAGACATGAACAGAATCTTCTCTGAGGAAGACAGATGAATGGCTAATAAACATATGAGAAAATGCTCATCATCCCTAATCATTAGAGAAATGCAAATCAAAACCACCCTGAGATATCACCTAACCCACATCACAAAGTCCCAAAGTTGCAGATGCTAGTGTGGATGTGGAGAGAGGGGATCACTTGTACACTGTTGGTGAGACTGCAAACTAATACTGCTTTTTTGGAAAGATGTATAGAGACTTCTCAAAGGACTCAAATTAGATCTCTCATGTGACCATGCAATCCCACTACTAGGCATCTACCCAGAAGAAAAAATATCATTTTATCATAAAGAAATTTGCACTAGAATGTTTCTTGGAGCTCAATTTACAATTGCCAAGATGTGGAAACAACATAAATGTCCATCAACTTTTTTTTTTTTTTTTGTACTGAAACGTTTTTATTAAGAGTAAACCCCTACAGTACTCCTCAACTGTAAACAACAGGGAACTGAGCTGTCAAAGGAAACACATTAGGGTCATATGAACAGACAAAACCCCTTACATTTCCTTATTACCTTTACACAGTTAACATGTTATATTTAAACAAAATAATCCTTATTAAGCAAACATTTTCGCATATACTGCCTTCTCTTTGTCTTTCTGTGCCTTTGTCTTCTGTTTGACTTTCAGTAATTCTGCCTGGATAGCTTTATCTTCTGGTGCTATCTCCTGAGCTTTTTTAAGATCAGCCAATGCTTGATCATATTCTTTTAATCCCTGCCATCCTTGAGCTTTGCGGTATAGAGCTTTGGTATTTGATGGGTCTATTTCAAGAGCCTCCAGACAACTGTCAGTCGCTCCCTGCCAATTCGACATCTTCAGTTTACAAGCACCAATATTCAGTACACAGCTTAAAGCTATAGGTTGTAGTTTAGATCTGTCAGCTTTCTCAATAACAGCCTTTGAACCATCCACGTACCTTAAAACTTTTGCATATTTTTTAATGGCCATCTCCCAGTTCTGGGCTTTGAAAAGATTATTTCCAATGTTTTTTAAGTCTTCTGTTATTAATAAAATTTTAGCTACATCCTTTAAATCAATATCTGCATCCTCAGGGAAATCTGGATGACTGTCGCCAGAGCCATCTTTGGGGAATATTCCCCAATCATCCCCTTCCTTCAATTCTCCACATTCTGCAATAATTCACAATTTGGCAGGTTTTTCACCTTGTACTTCTACGTTTTCCACTATCCTTGCCATACCTATTCCTTTAATTACTTGGCCAAACACCACATGTTTCCCATCCAAATGAGGAGTTGGAACTGTTGTGATAAAGAACCATTTGTATTTCGGCCTACATTTGCCATGCTCAATAAACCCTTGCGATCATGCTTATAATAGAAATTTTCATCTTCAAATTTTTCACCATAAATACTTTCTCCACCGGTTCCATCCTAATTTGAGAAATCTCCACCCTGAATCATAAATTTTTTAATAATTCGATGGAAAGGGCATCCTTTGAAATAGAGAGGTTTCCCAGTCATAGATCCAATCCCTTTTTCTCCTGTACATAATGCACGAAAATTTTCTGCAGTTTTGGGTACGATATCTGCAAACAATTCTAAGACAATTCGACCAACTCCGGATTCACTCCCCTCCGATGTCCACGTCAAAGAAGACCCAGGGATTACTGGGGTTGGAGGGCTTAGCCTGGGGGGACAGGTGCTACATACCCACATACAGATGCGTTAGGAAGTGGGATCCAGACACCTCGCGGCGCAGACCTGCAGCTCAAGCTCAAGAGTGCCACTCTCTCAATGTCCATCAACTTGAGTTGATATATGTACACCATGGAATACTATTCAGCCATAAAAATGATGGTAACTTTTTATCTTTTATATTAATCTGGATGGAGTTGAAACACATTCTTCTTAGTAAAGTATCACAAGAATGGAAAAACAAGTATCCAATATACTTAATTTTATTATGAAGCTAGTAAATGATCTAACTCATGCCCACATAGGAGAAAAACTTAATTCTATTCAAGTTGGAGGGAAGGGGAATAAGGGAAGGGTGGGGGGTAATTGTTGTGCTCCCATTTAAAGGGCACAAATTAGGGGTGTATGGCACACCTTTTGGGTGTGGGACACAACTACAAGAGGGAATCTATCTAACAAATTCAAATATTGTGACCTGGCTGTTTGCACACTCACAGTAACCTGAAATTAACCAAAAAAAAAAACTTGTTGACCACATTAATAAGTGCTTTTTCCATATGAAACTTAGTCATTTGGATTGCATTTAATTGAATTGCATATCTGCATTTTTATTCACAATTAAAATTTTTATTTTATTTTTCATTTTTATTAAAATTTTGCCCATGATTCCACCTTTTAAAAAATTGTAAGTGCTCTTTTTACATTATGAACTCTCTTTTCCCAATGATTTGAAATATTGGTTTGTCATATATTAAAGATTTTTTTTTTTTTTTGAGACAAAGTCTCACTATGTTGCTCTTGGTAGAGTCCTATCGCATCACAGCTCACAGCAACCTCAAACTCTTGGGCTTATGTGATTCTCTTGCTTCAGCCTCCTAAGCAGCTGGGACCACAGGCGCCTGCCACAATGCCTGGCCATTTCTTGGTTGTAGGTGGCATTGTTGTTTAGCTGCCCCGGGGTAGGTTCGAACCTGCCAGCCTGGGTGTATGTGGCTGGCGCCCGACTCACTGAGCTACTGGCACCGCTGATGTATGATATTCTTTTCTCATTTAAGAACATCAGTATTTTCTTTTTGTTTGGATCTTACGTCTTTAGTAAGATTTCAGAGTTTTCTTTTAAAATGTAAATCCTGTGTCTTTTTAAAAATTAAATACATTGCTGTTTCTTAGCCTTTTGTTCATTATTGTGAACAATTTCTTTCCCCATTTTCATTTCTTATTTTAAATTTAAAATTTTTTTTGGTAGAGATGGAATCTCAGTATGTTGTTCAGGCTGGTCTCAAACTCCTGGCTGCAAGCCATAGCCCACCTCTGCCTCCCAATGTGCTGGGATTACAGGCATGAGCCCCTCCACCTGGCCTCGTTTGTATTCCTAACAGCTTATTACAAATAAAGAGAAAACTTATTATTTCTGTATACTTGTGTACAACGAATTTATTATCCATGCCTACTAACTCTAATTCTAGCAGTTTTTCACTAGAGTCTCTTGGGATTTTTAGACGTACAATTGTGACATTCACAAAAATAATTTTATCTTTTCCAATGTTTGACAAGTCTTTTATTTTCTGAAATTTGATTGTCTAGAAACTCTAATACACTGTTGAGGTGATAAGTGGGCACCCTGTTTGTTACTGACTTTAGTTATAATGGTTTTGATATTTAATTATCTAGAATATTTGTGTTGCTGCTTGGTAAATAATCCTTATTTAAATAGGTTCGTTCCTGTTTTGCCATGAGATTTTATTAAGAATAGCTGCTGAATTTTATCAAATGACTTCTCAGTATCTTTCGATATGATCATCTGTTATTCTCCTTTAAGCTATCAACTAACCGAATTATACGTATAAAGTTCTTGGCATTAAAACACACTTGCCTCCTTGGAATAAAGCCTACTTTGTCATAATGTATTATTCTTTCAGTATAAATCTGTGTTTCAGTCATTAATCTTTCATTTGAGCTTTAGCATGCATATTCATAGGTAAGATTATAGTCTTCTTTAATGGACTGTTTTATTAGGTGTAAAAAAGTACACAGGTTGGCAAGGATGTGGGAGTAATCAGAAGGTTCATCCGCTGATGGTGAGAATGTAAATTAAAAAGCCTTTTGGCAGAATCAACTAAAGCTAAAAATTTTCATACACAGGATCTAATAATTCTTCTAGGTATACACCCAATTAGAGACCTTGTCTCTTAAAATATAAAAAAGAAGAAACTGAAAGGCATACACCCAACAAGATGCATACGTATGTTCACTAAAAGATAAATTCTAGAACGTTTATAGCAACACCATTAGTAATAGACTCACACCAGAAACTACCCCAAAGTCCATCAACTGTGAAGTGGATATGTATATTTTTGTGTGTTTAATTTGAAATATTGATAAACTCCTAAGGTGATGGATACCCCAGTTATTCTGATTTGGTTAATTCACATTATATGCCTCTATCAAAACATCACATGTGTTCTATAATGATATATATCTATTATGTACCCATAAGAAATAATAATTTTTAAAAATACAGAAAAACAGGTTTAGCACCCATAGCTCAGTGGTTAGGAAGCTGGCCACATACATTGGGGCTGGTGGGTTTGAACCCAGGCCAGGCCTGCTACAAAACAATAATGACAATCACAACAAAAAAATAGCTGGATGTTGTGGTGGGTACATGTAGTTCCAGCTACTTGGGAGGTGGAGGCAAGAGAATCGCTTAAGTTCAAGAGTTTGAGGTTGGTGTGAGCTGTGATGCCATGGCAGTATACCAAGGGTGACATAGTGGGACTCTGTCTCAAAAAAAAAAAAAAAAAATATATATATATATATATGTATGTATGAGAGAGAAAGAAACAAAAACCATGAAATACTATGCAACAGTAAAAATGAGCAGTTTGTTACTACATGCAACTTATGAATGAATCTCACAAACATATCAAGCATAAAAAGCCATGTGTAAAAGTGATGTTTTTATTCTTATAAAGTGCAAAAATGGGCAAAACTAATCTGCCAGGTCAGGAAAGTTATATTTGTTTCATAAAATGAATTGGGGAGCTTTCCATTTTTTTCTATAGAACTTGGCTGAGATATCTTTTGATCTAGAGGCTTATTTATTTATTCATTCATTCATTTATGAATGATAAAGTCTCACTTTGTACCCTGAATAGAGTGCTGTAGTGTCATAGCTCACAGCAACCTCAAGCTCCTGAGCTCAAGTGATTCTCTTACTTCAGCCTCCCAAGTAGCTAGTACTACAGGTGTTGGCTGCAGTGCACAGCTAGCTTTTCTATTTTTAGTAGAGATGGAGTCTTGCTTTTGGTCAGGCTGGTCTTGAACTCCTGAGCTCAAGCCATCCACCTGCCTTGGCCTCCCAGAGTGCTAGGATTACAGGCATGGTTCACCTCACCCGACTTGAGGTCTTCTGTTGTACATGTAAGATCTTTAATTAATTTTCTAATATTTTTGTTCAAAATGTCTACTTCTGGTATTCATTTTGATAGTTTATATTTTGTGGGAAATATTAATTTCTTCTAGGCTTTCACTTTTTTATAGGATTAAATATATATATTTTTATGTTTCTTGTAACTTTTATTGCAGGTGGTATTGATCTTCAATCTTTTTATCCAAGGCTTATCTATATGTGTGTTTCTTAGATTTCAAGGACTTAAGGACTTTTTAAAAAATGAGTTTTGTTACTTATGTCTAATTTTAGTTTTCTGTGAATGTACATTTAGAGAATGTACCCTGTCAAGTCTTCTCTTTAAAACTGAAGGTTTTATTTGAGACTGAGTGTATTATTGATTTCTGTAAATATTACAGGCCTACAGTGTGTATATTTTCTATGTAAACGATTTCAGGTTCTGTAAATATCTATGAAGTGGTTGTTGGTTTTGTTTTTCAATTCTATATTTACTTTTTTTTTCTTGAGAACTGTTTAGTTATGAAAAAAGCATGATTGAAATACTCCACAATACTTTTTATCAAACTTTCCTTAAATTGTTAATAATTCTTGCTGTATGTATTTAGTTACTCTGTTGCTGAGTGCATGCAGCACCAGAGTTACAGGGTGCAACTCCTATAACTTCATTGATTGTGCCTTTCATCTTTGTCTTATTTCATGCTTTTAAATTTATATTCCTCTTTGCCTGATATATAACTCTCAGTCTACTCTACTGTCAAACATGCTTTATCTTTTGTTTGAAGTGTGTTTCCTGTAAGCTGCCTGTTTCTAGGTTTCATTTTTTAACTGCCTAGTAGTTTCTTTTTATTTCTTTTTTCTTTTTTTTTTCAGTTTTGGCCAGGGCTAGGCTTGAACCTGCTACCCCTGGTATATGGGACCTGCACCCTACTCCTTGAGCCACAGGCGCCGCCCCTGCCTGGTAGTTTCTTTCAGGGGTTGTATTGCGTATGTCCACTGATTGTGTCTTATTATGTTTATGATTCGTTTTACTTCATTGTTTCTTCTTTTTATTTTATTTTTGCTGGTTTGATTAAGTCATTATTCATTTTCTTTCTCACGTTAATGTGGGATTTCTACTATGCCTTTCTCTTCCAATAATTATTTTTTCTTTCCTAGTGTTCATAATCAGATCTTTTTTGCTATTATATGAAAAAGCCAAATCACTCTAATCCTTTCCACCAAGCCAAAAAACCCAGAATTTTTAGAATGTTTCCACGTCCTTTTCCTCCCTCCAATACTTAAAGATGTTTTTCCTTTTCCTTTTCCCATTCTCTGTCTACTTAGGTTTTGCTAAGATTGCTTAATTTCTGTAGTTCTAGACTACTAAAATTTTCATTTACTAGTTTTCTATATCATAAATATTCGAAGACATTAAATATTCATTTTAATGTCTTCTATATCAATAATTCTTACCTAACACTTACCTTAATTTCCTGATAGTCTATCATTAAAAAAATTATTTTTTGTATTGCCGGTACATTGGTTTAAAAAAAAAAAGAGAAAAAAAGAGGAGCGACACCATGATGCCAATGGCTTGGATTGACAGCAGCTTAAGGAGGGAG